CGGCGCCTGAAGCTTCTTGGTTTTCTCGTGTACTTGTCGACACAACCGGTATAACTGCATACAAACTGGTTGGCCGGAGTGTTAGATACAGTTGTAATCATTGGGCGGTATAGAGTGTCGGGCCCGCCCGGTCCGGAATCTGAGCGATTCTCGACACAGTTGATCTTCGAGTGTGCCCATAAAGGGAGGTATGGCGTCCTGCCATCAAAGCTGAGAGTCGGGATCGAAGGCTCCCACAACTCTAGCAGCCTCACTGTGGAACGCATTGTTTCTGCCAATCTCGAAAGGTCACCTCCTTGGCATGAACCTAGAGCGCGAGGGACATACTGCCTAGATATGCCCGGATGCCACGTCATAACGGCTCGTGGCTCGCGCAATTGAAAAGAGTGACAGTTCCACATCGATAGAATGTTCCGATTAGAAGGTTAATATTTATCCCTGGCCATGTATGACTAGTAAATAATTACTTGGGCATTTCTATCGACTTCAATTTCGCAGCTCGGAGAGCTTCATACCCTTTAATTCACTGGAATTACTACACTAGTTCAGCTGGTAAAATAGGACATAGCATCTAATAAGTGCGGCCATGGGCCTATGTGGTTTTCCCGCAACCACATTTAGGGGGGGTTTTTGCGCACCTAGGAAGTTCGTGGGCATAGGCCTCAGATGTTGGTAGCTCTGGACGAAACCTGTGTATGACTAAGAGTGGGTACTATATTATATCTGCTGTTATCTATACAGTGGACTCTAGGATGCTTTTCAAGTGCATATCAAACCATTCATTGCAGAACTATGTTCGGTCCAATACAAAAGTCTACGGTGGCCTTGGTCTTTTTCGCAGGAGTCAGCATAGGCATACAGCTCTACCCCAGTCACGTCGTCGAGCGCGACGTAGACATTGGGATAGTCTTGGGAAGTGCGGCCAGGCTTTTCGCTGTCTGGGTCCGGAACGACAGGACACCGTACAAGATCTCATCTTTAGTTTCATCTCCTACGTTGTCAGCAACCACAATCGACCACCTTAATTTCGACACTATTAACCTTCTCAATGATGAAAGGTGCGTTATCGAGCGGCAGGACAACACCATCACGCTTGGAGGTGGTTTACCGATGTACCAGGTGGCCTCGCCACCACAGCCGATATTGTCAGTGACTTGTGGTTCTCCTGTCGAGAAATGGTGATCCCTCAAAAGCACCATCACAATAGAGCAGTGCGTCTAGTCAAGATCTATGAGCAGCAGAACAGCATTAGTAGTAAAGAATGTTTGTATATAGTATGCATTGTCCAGAATAAGGTGTGGAATGGAACTGTGGGCGATGGTATAGTCGACCGTTTAGGATACCCTATTCGCCACGTCCATTACCACTGAAATAAACAGGTCTGCTTCAACTCCAACTCAGCTTCAATAGCCTTCCTTCGACGGGAAATGACACTGAAACATAAGTCTCTTAATGTGCTTTCATTGAGCACCTAGCTCTATAGGAGTAGAGTATCAAGATAACTACGTATACCCGTACATGCAAGTATACAGAAGCGCATACAGTAAGATGACCACGCAGAATTTCTAACCTAGTATAGGCGTGCTTGTCAGACCCCGACAAGGTTCAAAGGGATCACAAAAATTGGCGGTATATTCTACTAAGATTTCACTCCTAGATCTTCTCTTAAGTGGTGGCGTTCTGAAGTATCCATATGCGGATATAATAGCTTATGATCTAAATCTAGCTATACGAAACTATGAGAATACGTGGTGTGGCGGACATTTTGAGTTCGAGAAGGCTGTGGTCTACACGGACCACGTACGGCAGGTCCTATCCGCGGAACTAAGAAAGTAAAATGATGCGGATGTCCCTCGCCGTACATGGAATCCTCTCACATTTAGGAAAGCCTAAACACACCGACTTAAGCCTAAAACAACCACGAAGCTCTTCTTAAGAAGTAGGTAAATGGCGAAAGAGGATAATGAAGTTACAGACTCGAGATTATTGTATTGCCGTGTCGTCTATAACTGTAAGTACAATATCTATAGGTTAACCACAGAAAGAGTGGATTGACCCCATGCGGGCCGATAAGCCTCGGGAAGCGGGGGGCGGTGGTGCAAGTGTGCCTTACTTGACCCACAGGATTGAGAAACGGTGGTGCGACAAATACTTGACATCGCTTACTAAGTGGTCATAAGGATGCACGATCTCCTTGGACCAGATTGAGGCGGATAACAAGGCCGCCAGTAGCCACAATAAGACCTAAGCGATAATTGCTCTATAATGTGGCCATACTTAGGCGTTGAGTGAGGATTTGAGAACCGTACCCGGGTCAAGCGGAAGATGAAATACGCTCATTGGCTAGCTAACCACTGTACCTTTTCACTGTTCGATAAAGATAGCGCTTGCGGCAACGTACCTCCGAGGCGCTTAGGTGCACCGCCTAGCTTGAGAAGTGGCTCATAGTACCTAGCATTTACCTTCAGAGAATTAAGTCGAAGTAATCGATGTATAGCTATATATACTCGCAATCTTCTAAGTTCGGTTCTATTCCTCGATATTCTTGACATCTCAATTTGAATACTATAATCCCCTTTGGCTCAAAATGCATTCCACTTCGAGGTTTACTTATAGCTTCCTCCTACAGATCATCTCCTTCCTTTTTTTCCTTGTTGAATTGACCATCTGTGGACCTCTCCCTCTTCAGGGCACATACCGGAACGTCTCCTGCCACGATCATACTCAATCACCTACGCCTACCACGGGAATCGACAAAAGAGTGGAAGCGAGAAACGAAGATTGGGCTACCAACATTGAATTCATGGCTGGGACGCAATTCCTAGGACTCTTCTTGCAACCAGATGGACAGGTTCACGACTTGAATGACGTTACATGTTTGCTCCTGCCTTCTTACACTGAAGGCCCGTGCAATGGGGTCAGTGTCTCTTCCATCGGAGTTGCGACTGGGTATGGACCCTGCACATTCTACGGCTTGGATGGAGCAATTGTGGCTGTTCCGGGGGAAGGGGAAGGATGGGTATATGTCGCACCGCCACAGAATATGATGCAAGCTGTCTGTGGCTGAGAAAATAGGGGACGAAGGCATTCACGTATCGCCACAAAGCTGGATTGTCCCCGGTCACGACTGTTTACAACCGGGGCTGAAGTCGAGATTTTGGGAAGAAGATGCTTGTAAGGAAGGGACGTGCTGGCTTTTTTGGCATTGCGAAGCCGTAGCCGAACGGCCGGAGTTCGGAGAGCTGATCGCGTTCTTTTAGATGACATTCGCTGGGAAACTGGAGGGCACAAGGCTTTCCCGCCAATCATTTTAGCGCTTTTT